GTGTGCATGCACACTCCAGAAACTAGAAACTCAGCCTCCTGGCATGTACATGCAAACCAGGGAACTGCTCTTCCGGTTTTTGGCGTTCCCGCATGTGTGCACCGGGGAGCTGCTCTTCCAGTTTCTGGTGCTCCCCCCTCCCACGCGCTTCCATTTTGGCTCTTAGTGCCGAAAAGATTCGCCAACACCATCCTATAAGAAGTAATGGGTATGTTTAACATACAGAACAGAAAACTAAAAAGAAATACGATAGCAGTCTCCAACTGTTGTGAAATACAAAAGAGAATGGATTAATTCTCCACGGCCCCAGAACACAGAACCAGAACCAATGGTTAAAACTACAAATTATGGTCAGGCAAGATATCAGAAATAACTTTTGATTTTACAAGCAAGCACCTCGTGAAGTCTACCACTATGTTGATTTTCCTTTGCTGAAAGTCTTCAATCCAAGGCTGAATGTTTGTCTATTGAAGATGATTTACTGAATCTTACACTGGCAGAGGGTTGGTCTGAATGATCTCTAACATTCCTTCCAGCTATGTAATTCTAAAAGATCTACTTACACAACTAGAATTTTTCTCTATTGCAAAAGCAGTAGATAACAAGAAAGAGAAAAATAGTAATCATACCACAATAAAAGAAACCTCCTTCACTATCAGATAATCAGCAGAGCTGAGGCTAGAAAATGATGCTTCTTTATTGCAGATCTCTTGCAAAATACTTTACCACTACAGATTAGATTTCTACTACTACAGATTAGATTGCTCCAATTCAGCTTTTCGTAGCAAGTTAAAAATTGAGTTTTTCCATTTTAATTTACCTAATTTAGACAGTACAGTACTGCAGAATTGTTTATGTGCTCCTATTTTAAAATACTTAATTTTGTGGTGACTGTTTTGTTATTTTTGCTTAATTGGATGTTTTTCTCTGTAAACGAATAAAAGTCATATGACTGTAAAACATAAAATGATTTAAAAACAAATAGTTTCAGAGAGCAAAATATGGATCAAGGAGAAAAAGTAGCAGAGAGACAGACTGAGTACACAGAAGGAAATATACTACAGTGGAAAAAGCAGTCCTTAAGTATCCTCTCATAAAACACTCAGGCCTTTAAAATAAGGACAAACTTAGAGCACAGCCCAGAAAAAAACCGGGCTAAAATAACAGATGAAGATGATACAGAACTGTGGTGATTTAAC